AAAGAAAGAAAGAAGAAAGAAGAAAGAAAAGAGAAAGAGCAAGCAAGCAAGCATGGAGATAACTAGACGCTGCCCATATTGTCCCTCCTGTTACAGATTAGATCTAAAGTATTCCCTACAATCTCATGTGTTCAGTGGGGATTTTGGAAAGTGATTAGATCATGTAGGTGTTCTACTCCTTGGAGGATTTCTCCACTGAGGAGTTCTAGCTGAGTGTGCTGTTACGGGGTGGACTCAGTTGGAGGAGGTGGGTCACTGGGGGCAGCAAGCCATAGGCACTCTCTGGTTCTCCCCTACCTGTCTGCTTCCAGCCACTATGAGGTGAATAGATTCCCCCAGCCATGCCCCTCTACTAAGATGTTTATACTCCAGAACCAGCTAACCATAGACAAAAACTTCTGAAACTGCAAGCCAAAATAAAAGTCTTCTGCCTTAAATTATGCATGTCAGGCATTTTGGCCCAGCAATAGGAAAGCTGACTAATATACCCTCCCTTGTCAGAATTTTAGAGAAACTGTGGCTTTGTGTGAAAGACAGGACCCTACAGAAAGTTCTTGATGCCTCTTCATAAACACAACACTGAGCTAGTCATATCTGAGATCCACATCATCAAGTACAATCTGTTGGTCACCCACGGACAGTGACAGAACATCTATTCAGAGAGCATGTTTTCTGTCACATTTATTCATATTGTGTCTGTTTCAGCAAGCACTTACCTTGTAATGTGGAGCCTGGAGGATTTGTCTCAGCTCTCGGATCTCAAGGGAATTAGGGCTTTCATGTAATAGCTCCACCACCTGGCTCATGGAAAAAGACTATATATATATATATATTTTCCCCCCCAACCGGGGATCAAACTCAGGCCTTTGTGCTTGCCAGGGAAGCGCTTATTCTACTGAATCATCTCCCTGACCCCTATAAAAATTTTTTAAAAATCTTTAGGCTGGGGAGATAGCTCAGTAGAATAAGTGCCCGCCCGGCAAGTGCTGGGTCCTGAGTTCAATCCCCGGTACCTAAAAAAAACAAAGAAGAAGAGGGACAAGGGGTCGAAAGAAGGGGAGGAAATGGGGAAAATGAACCAAGATATATCATATACAGGTAAAAATTTCCTAATATGAATGTGATCATTATGTGTATCTAAAATGTAACAACCAATAAAATTATTATTATTTTTTAAAAGATCTGTTAGGCCACTCTGTGGGAGCTGCTAGGGGCATCTGTAGAAATGGTGAAGATTATTTCTTGCGTGGCTCGAGGGCAAGATGTGTTTTCAAAGTAGAACTCACAGGATATATTGTCAGACTAGGTGTGGTAAGGAAAGAGAGGCAGAGGATCCTAAAGATTTTGGCCTCGGGTACTGCAGAACAGATGTCTTTACTAAGATGGAAAAGGCTACAAGAAGTGAAAGCCTGCGGTGCTGGCAGGAGGTCAGTTTGGGACAGGATGAATCTGAAGTACCCATTAAATATCCAGATGGGGAGGAGACAGCTGGGTAGTCTAGACTGCAATTCAGACAAGAGTTTCAGACTAGAGATATAAATTGGAGACTCACAACCATCTGTACTATTTATCATCCTGTTATATAAGGTAAACTGAGTCCAAAGGTCAGGGGAAAAAAGAGAAATAGACACACTTTAGTGAGAAATAGACTCACTAAAAATATGTGAGTGTGTAGGGTATTAATTCAGGGAGATAGATAATTTTGTTCTTTATATTAAGGTTGAATTAAAAACACGTATTAACCTATATAATCACCAAACTTCTGATGAAGCACTATGGTAGCAGCACTACAGGCTACTTAAACAAGCACTGCAGGTGGCGTGGTGCCACAGAGCTCCTCTGTTGTGGAGGGAGTCACCTACCTCCCAGGACAGCTGCTGTGCACAGTGCATGACAGGAACCGGTTTCTTTTCTCTGAATTCCTGGAGGCAGCCATAAACCTGCAGCACAGCAAGTTAAGGGACACACATTACAATGTGCCCACTGACATTTGGGTTTAAGCTCTTGGAGGGAAGAGGCAGCCTGGCAGATGCTAGCACTAAGGACTGTGGCATCAGTAGTCTGCAGCATGGCATGCCATTGCGAGATGCCCAGGGAGAATGAGCCCCAGTGTAGTGGTGACAACATTCAGAGGCTTGATTATTGGCTCTCAGTAGGAAGCCAACCTCTTGGAAATTTCAATGAGAAAAATCCAAACTTACTCTTTTTAAACCAAGCAAAGCAACAGTTTCCAGGACTGAGAGCAACAGGGAGGTGTAGACAGTGTGCACAGGGCATCTCAAGGAAGGGTTCTACAGCCTGCAGTCCTGAGAGGCCCTTGGCCCTGGCACTAGAGCGTGGGCTGGGTGACTCAGGGCCACCCAGGCCCGTGTAAGAGGCCATGTGCTGGGGATGCTTCTCTGTCCTCTGCTCTAGCCTTTGGGTGGTTTCTCATTCTTCCCTCAATTCTTCAAAACACATTCATTTGAAAAAATTTCAACTTTGCCTCTGCTGATCCTTAGGGATTGTTTTCTGTGTCAGGATCTAGGTTTGGGCTACATACATCAAAGCCTAGCTCCCCACAGTGCAGACCTTAACCTTTTGTTTTGTTTTGTTGAGACAGGATCTTGCTGTGTAATGCAGGCTGGCCTCAAATTTGCTGTGATTCTCCTGCCTCAGCCTCCCAAGTGCTGGGATTACAGGTGTGCATTACCACACTGAGCCTCAACCTTATTTAAGGAATTAAGTCTCTCTTCTGGAAGGAGAAATAAAGACCACAGGGCCAGCTCAGCCCAATCTTTTTTTTTGGTGGAACCGAGGATTGAGTCAACCTTTTCTACTCAGTTCTGTGACGCTGCCACTTCCAGCTATACTGGGCAGTAGCAGTCAAGTTGACCTGAAATGCTCAAGGCTCACAAGGGGAATGCAGCAGCTGCCCACTGGCAATCAAAGGGCCACTGCCCCTCCATCCAGTTCTCAGTAGGCAGCAGAGAAACAAACCCTTTGCTACGCCTTTCTCCCACATTTTCTAGAGACTTGTAGAGCCCTCCTATCTACAGCTGAAGACCCCCCACCCCTGGACACTGTCCTTTTGGACCCACAACCATAAACCTCATTTTAAACCAAGTAGGTGCTCCAGAAGGCCATAAGATGCTAAACTTTCTTTAATTACATTTGCTGCCCCAGATCCTTTTCCATATCCTATGAAAACCCGAGTCTCTCCTCCTGACTGCTCTGCCCCTTGGCAGTGTACCCAATCCAAGTATACTCTTGTCTTTGCTATGCTCCTTGTCTATAAGTAAATTCTTTGACCTACTCTGCCTCACTGGTCCTCTCCCCTTTCAGGGTAGGCAATAATCATAATGACCCTAAAGTCACTGTCTTAGGTAATCTCTGGGGAAAAGCCTGATTGAAGTCAAGTGCTTTAAAACAGGTGATATCAGCCAGGCTTGTACAGGACTTAGGAGGCTGAGGAAGGAGGATCACCATAACTGTGAGGCCAGCATGGGGCACACAGTGAGTTCAAAGCCAGTCTGTTCTACATAGCAAGACCCTGCCTCAACTGCCTCCATCCCAACTTCAAAAAAATAAAAAAAAGGAATGATTTTTAAAAGCATTTTTGTTTCTAGACTTGATCTCAAGAACAAAGGAGGTGACAACTGATAAGTTGGTGCTTAGGGCCAGGGGCCACGGTGACCCCAGGTGCCTCTGCAGCAAAAGACTAGCACAGAAAAGAGCAGAGCAAACTGTTATCTGGGCTAGAAAGTGATAGGCTTTTCATCACAGCAGAGAAACAGGAAGAAGGAAAAATGGAAAGGGGCTTTATTATCTTGGAGGGCAAGGAGAGAATTTGGGGAAGATAAGGAATTCTCTCTCTTAGAACAAAAGGAGGCTGAGGCTTTCATGGCCTTTTGCCAGGGGTGGAGTTTGAAGGGGGTGTTTAGATACACCTGAGGAGCTCACTGGGTGAAAGGAAATTGCACCCCGGGATGAGTTGGGAGAAGTGGAGAGGCGGTCTTGGGGAAGATGGGCTTTTGTTTTAACGGCATTGGCCATATTGGATGACCACCATAATGATTTTAGCAATTTACACTAGGGCCAGAACCTAGCAGAACCCAAGGCTGTTTTCTTCTGAGGACCATACTTTTTTTTTTTTTTTTTTTTGGTGGAACCTGGGATTGAACTCAGACCCTTGCGCTTGCCAGGCATTGAGGACAATACTGAGGTCCCTGCAAGTGATAAGTGACAGCTCAGAACTGTTCCTTTGGCTTGACTGTTCAGTCCAGGGGCTCTGTTCAGACCCTGGGAGCAGAAGAGCACTGTGGCTTCCCACATGCACAGGCCTTGGACAGACCCCGCTTGCCAGTGCCCGGCCTGGGGCTTTCAGCCTCCAGACCCACAAGGAGGACATTTTGGTGGCTCACAGCTGCTCAGGCTGTGACACTTTGTCACAGCAGCCAGGATGGAGCAGGACAGTGGTTCTCACCACCTACAGCAGAAAAGGATAGGCGGCACCACACTCACCTTCAGTAGCGCCTGCAGCCACTGGGAGTGCAACAGGTCATACAGGAGACGCACTCCGCCAACATCGCGGCTGTAGAACAGACTCAGCTCCTGCAGCAGCAGCCTCAGGATTCTGGAGAGGCCTGGAGGAGGGGGCCAAGAGCAAGGGGCAGAGCAGCAGGGGTGGGTGTAGGAGGCACCTGGGAAGGCCATGTCAGCAGCAGAGGAACCGGCACAGAGCGGAGGGCAGATCTGGCTTCTGGGTCTGTCCCATCACTCACAGTCTGAAAACCAGTTCCTTAGGCAAAATGAGAAGCTGCTAACTTTGTGCAGGGCTGTGACTGTCACCAGATGAGCTTGGGCACCTGGTGACCTGACAGATCATAGGGCGGTGCGCTTTCCCTGCCTCCTCTCAGCAGCCAGCGTTTATCCCAAACTTGCTGGATGTTTTCCTAATCTGCTTTCTCTAGCTCACTGAGTCACTTGTTTTCACCAACTGTGAATATTCTTATGAAAGTATTTCTGAAAACACTCTCAGTAGATTTTTAACATAAATTTCAACATCCTACTGAGTAAAGTGAATGATTGGTATTTTCCATAAGAATTCTATTTTTGTAGTAATTTTTTTTTCCCTGTATTTTAGGGAAGGGTCTACAGAGTGTTCAGGATCTCACTACTAGATCAGACTCATAGTGATCTGCCTGTTTACAGCCTCCCAAGAGCTGGGATTACAGGCGTGTGCCACCAGGCCCAGTCTCCATTGCTGTCTCAGCGTGCCCCGGGGGCTGCGCTGGCAAGGCAGGACCGAGAATCCATGCAGTGATATTTTGAATGTGAACAAGATCTACAGTTGTAAGTTTTACATAATATATTAGGGGACCGGGAAAATGTTCTGAAACTGCCATGAGTTTCCCTCCTGCCAGCCTTAGAAATTACTGTCTTGCTACTAGCAGTTGAGGTAAGGCAATCAGCAGTGTTCACCTTCCTTGTGGGACCCCAGAGAATCTATCCAAGTTTCTTCTGTACTTTTGATCACTTACTTGGAGTGATGTAAGGTCTTTGTGGTCTAGAAAAGGCCCGTGGGCGACACGTACCGTTCTCCGGATTGTTTGCTGTGGAACGCTTCCTGGCCTCCACACCCAGCAGATCTGCCCCTGGGCCCGACTGTATCATCCTCACTGCCTGGGAATTCAGAACTAGGAAGCAGATCAATAAACAGCACAGAGCTCACTCCATCAGCCTGGCCAAGCAGTGCTCAGCACAGTGGACACATTTCAAGAGTTCATTCACTGGGTACGTTAGATACTGCACCACAGCCTGGAGTGCACACCAAGTGAGTTACTACTGTCTTCCCTGCTGATTCTCCAAACCAAACATCACTGCTGTGTGAAAGAGAAAACGATTCTCCCTGTATCCCCTTTTAAGCAAGCAGGAAATAATTATATTTACTTGTCTTTTACCTGTTTACTGAGTTAATCTATCGTTCAGCGCTCGGAGAGGCCTTTCCCGTCCTGAATGCATGCAGGTGCCTGTTACCAATGCTGTACCTTATAGTTCTATAATTCATAGGAAACCTAATTGACCACAGTTGCACAGTTGCAGTTTAGAAGACCTTGCTGAGCCTGTGTTACCAGTTGCTGCTGAGACCTGCTCTCAGAACCCAGAGACGGCTAGTAATGACTTGTTTCTTTAGATAGCCTTTCTGGGTCAACTGCACAGCCTTCCTAAATTCCGGACCATGGTTTTTGTTGATAGGTTTTTTTTTTCAGGTGCCCAGCACAGCAGAGAAACAGGCAGAAAGAAAAATGGAAAGGGGTTTTATCTTGGAGGGCAAGGAGAGAATTTGAGGAAGATAAGGAATTCTCTCTCTTGGAACAAAGGGGGGGCTGAGGCTTTTATGGCTTTTTGCCGGGGGGTGGAGTTTGAAGGGATGTTTGGATATACCTCAGGGGCTGACTGGGGGTTTTCCCTGAGGCAGGATGAAAGGAAATTGCACCCTGGGCTGAGTTGGAGAAGAGGGGGGCGGTGGCCTTGGGGAAGGTGGGCTTTTGTTTTAAGGGCTTCAGCCGTATTAGATGGCCACTATGATGATTTAGCAATTTATAGTAGGGCCAGAACCTATCACTTATCCCTATCAGATTCAACCCTAGTCCTTAACAACTAATTTGAAATACTAATTTTAATATTTATTACATCACTCTAGGTAAATTTAGTTCCAGAGACAGGAATCCAAAATACTAATGGCTTAACAAGAGTATAAGTTTAAATCTTCCTCATGTGAGAGTTGTGAGGCAGAAGATGCAGAGCTGGCAGGGCTGCAAACCCCCAGGGAACAGGCTCCTTGCAGCTCTCTGCTGCACCGCGAGGGAGTGCGGCACATTACTATTTGCCAGTTCCCAGGTGGTTGCGAGGTCCAGGCATCATCTCTACGTTTCAGCCAGAAGGATGGGGAGGGCGTAGGGACACATGGCAAAGGGAATACATCTACTGCTCTTCAGAGATTTTTCCCAGAAGTTGCCTACATCATAAGGAATTATCCCTTGGTCTGTAGAACTTCCAAATGTCTCAGTAGACTTTCATGATGGAGGGAAGGTCTGATCCAACTTTTCTTTGTAAGCATAAAATACTTCTGCAGTTTTAACACACACTGAATTGATAGAATGGTATCACAATTGAGAAATAAATTTACCAAGTTGTCCACTAATCCAGAAAACCATGTCATTAATAACAGTGCTCCTTAATTGGTCAAGCAATGGCCGTGACTCACCCACATGTCTGACACTGACAAAAGGATGTACAAAGGGCGGTACAGGGCAACAGGATAAACCCTGAGAGTACTCGGCTGACCTTATCAGATACAAAAGTTACATTTCTTGTTATATAGGTCTTGCTATATCTTGGTCTTAACCATCCAGCAGAAAAGTATAAAAACGAGGTATATAAAGTAAATCCATATTAATAGGATGAGCTGTGAAAGGCTCAAGTCAATAACTTCTGAGGATAACCCACTAATATTATAGACTGCTAGACAGTGTCAGATTGTTTAGTTGAATTCAAACACCTATAGTATTTAGATGCCAATAGAATATGCACCTCTGACAGACAATAAAAAAATGATACAAAGGAATGATCATTTTTTATTTATATACACAAAATAGGATAAATTTACAGCTACTTTCGCTTAATTCAAAGAGAAGAAAGAGGTGTACTAACAGTGTTTGGACAGAATATCCTGTCTGCTTCTTGTACTATGGATAACCACTAAGAAGATAACAATGTACAATGTATTATCAAAACTGTCCTATTAATCAGCTGTGAAACTGTCTTATTCATATTTATTTCTGAATAAAAAAATTAAAAATAACAATGCTCCTTGTGGTACTGAGAAAACATACCAAATCACACTGTCTCTGTCCCCTCATTCAAAGCTGCTTCACCCCACATAGGTTTTTGCATAGGTTTAAGTGTGTGCTGGTTTATTCTAACTTCAGGCATAGTGAAGTCCCATTATCTACACACTGAAATATACTATACTTTATGATCAGCTGTTTCTTTGTTCTTTTTACTACTGGGCCAATAAATGGATTTAAAAATAAGTCATGTGTAGGTAGGTCTGAGTCCTCTGAGGATCAGATACAGAGTAAGGATTCCAGGCAGGTGATTTTTGTGTCAAGTGGCCCCAGGAAATACCAGAAGGCAAGAAGGGTATTGAGACAGGGAATGAGAACAAATCACTGGAAAAATATTTTGGATCAAATGCATACTGTGGGCAGCTGGAGCTCAGTCCTTCAGGGATCAAAGGACAAAAGATGGTTGGAGGTGGAGCCCTGGTGCTGCAATCCTAAGGTGAGGATGGTCCCTGGGGTAGTGCCAGAGTCCTCCCACCTGGCCCTCAGACACCTTCAGGTGCAAATGCAGGTATGCAGAGAGGGTGTAGACACAGCAGTAACATGTTGCACTAGGTGAAAATTCAATGAGTGGAGCACAGAATCTGACGGTTGAGATCTACCGTCTAGAATCTAGATGGAATGCAAGGTTAAGTGGGAAGGCTATCTGAAAGCAAAAAGATCATGTTGAGTTCTAAGATAGTACGAAGAGACACAGAAAGCTGCCAGAGTTTTCGACAAGTGTCCATTATAGTTTTTCTTCCAGCCATACTGAAGTTGTATGTTGCTAAATACCACCCAAACATGGTATTGCTATCATCCGCCCCCTGCCAGGACACAACCTTTCCTATGTTCTGCTTTGGAGCTTCATGGTCACTTAGCATGCAGTGGAGTGTGGTGTGGGACTTCTCTCCAGAGAACATTGGAAAAGGAAGCAGATGGCTCAGACACCCATGGGAGATGGGTTGAGGCTCATCAACCCCTAAATGCTACCCCAGGGTGCTTCCCAACCTTGTCCTTGGTGAATTTTCCAGATGAAACCAACTTGTGCACATCCTAAAGTAGGTCATGTTTAATATTCACCCAGATGATAGTGTGCTGTGTGAGGCCTACACACCAGCAGCAGGCACTAGATGTGAGGTGAAATCCCTGTGAGGCTTGGGCTTCATAGTAGGCATTGGCTTTTGTGGTGAATTTTTTTATTTAATTTTGTATGTATTTTAATACATGGTCTACAGGGTCTCACTATGCAGATTGGACTCAGTGAGCCTCCTGTCTTTAGCTCAAGTGGTGGTATTACAGGTGCACACCCCCACGCCCAGTCTCAATCATTGTCTCAGCGCACCCCAGGGGTGGGCCTGCTATGGCACGCCAGGGATCTATCTGTAGTGAATTTTAATCAAGATAACTTCCTAAATTACAACCGAAGCAGGACTACTTGGATAAGCAATTCATGTATTACAAAAGGCCCATTTTGACCAAGTCTCTCAGCCATAGAGGTATATATAAAGCAGTAATTTTCAACTCTATAACCTCAGCAGAACCCAAAACTGTTTGCCTACCTGGGCGTGGTGGCACATGCCTAGGCAACACAGTGAGTGTTGGAAAAGGAAGCCTACATTATAAGGCAAGATCCAATCTCAAAAAACAAAAACAAAAACAAACAAAACAAAAAACCCCACAAAACTGTTGCTGGCTTACACTCAGTTTTCAATGACAATAATGAATGACTTTCTCCTATCGTCCCTCATCCCAACCTGTATTGAAGCCCTGACTCCCATTCTGATGGAACTCTGAGATGGTGGCCCTCAGATATAGCAGCCCTCATGCCACCCAACTCAGTGCCTGAGACAGCTTGTTTTTTCTCTCTGTCCTGTGAGCTTACAGTGAGGCAGGAGACCAGGACCCTCACCTCTAATTTTCTAGCCTCCAGAATTATCAAAAGTTCCTATTGTTTAAGCTCCCCAATCCAGAGTATTGTTATTGCAGTCCAAGTCTAGACAAAATTCAGATATTCCAGAAAATGATCTCAGCCAGGCATGGTGGTGCATACCTGTAATCCCAGCAGGAGGCTGAGGCAAGAGGATCACTGTAAGTTCAAGGCCAGGCTGGGCCACAAAGAGTTCAAGGGCAGCCTGAACAGCATAGTGAAACCCTGTCTCAAAGACCCCACCACCCAAAAACAAATAAAACAAAACCAAAGCAAACACCTTTCTTGTAGGTAGTTAAGAAATGGCCACAGCTCACTGTCCTCAAGATGCGTATCACTCTTCCCAGTTGTTCCATCACTTGCTCATGTCCCTTTGGCCTATGAAATGTCATGCAGTAGCTTCCCCCGCAGTCTGGTTCACAGCAAGAACTTAGCATTTCACTTGTGGGAAAAGGATTAGGAAAAGTGGGAGCCATGGAACACAGAAGCTTGACTCTGAGCAGGGGTGCGCCTCCTGAGGGGAGGGTGCTGACCTCTGCAGGCCTCCTCACCCTCTTCCAGCCTGCTTCTACTTTACCTCCTTGCCCGTCAGGAAATCGGGAGACTTTCCAGGTAAGGGGTCCGAGCTCAAGACGCATTCAGAAGGGCTAACAAGCAGTAAAATTGGCGCTGCTTTGCCAGCCCTAAAAAGTGCTGCACCTGATGACTGCCTTCCTTGCCTTTCTTCCATGACTGCTGTTCCAACTCTGTCAGCTTAGACCTAAACATTTCTGCTCCCTAAAGGACGAAAATTCTTAAGTCTGCAAGTAAATAGGTGCCATGAGCATGCAATTTGGGGCTGATCAAATAAGAGGAAG